TATCCTACAGAATGTGCTAAAAGTCCGAATTATAATTACATCGCATTTGCTAATAAAAACTAAATGTAAAACACATAATAAGCCAATAAGAACGAATTGTTCGGTTAATTTGAGCCCAATGAAGCCAAAAAAATCATTTTAAAATAAATATTGATATAATTAAAATCAGCAAATAAGTCCTCCCCGGCTATTGCCTAATATGCTAATTAACTATCTTATCAATTTTATGTCAATAATATCATTTTTTTTTTGCAAATATTAAAATTATATTGCTTCTCCTTTGCACTAAATTATTCACACATAAATTAAATTCTTTACTTTGCGTCGGTGGTGTCTATGTATTTTAAAGTGCAATTCTATATTTTCTAATTCAAGAGGAGAGTGAGTCTATGTATTTATATGCCTTATTAAATTATTTCGACCGGATCAGACCCTGTAATTTTTTCTCTTTCCAGAGTTTATCACATAAAAGTCACGACGTCTCTTCCCACTATTTTTCGACCGGATCAGACCCTGTAATTTTTTCTCTTTCCAGAGTTTATCACATAAAAGTCACGACGTCTCTTCCCACTATTTTTCATATCTCTTAGTACCAAGATGTTAGAGGTCAATGAGACAGAGACTGCAATTAGATTCTCGTTTGGTTAGATGGCATATTAGGGATATAAATAATTAATTAATAATTGCAAATTAAATTGCGATCACATCTTTAATTATCCCACTCCCCACTGTTGGCTCCTTCACAAGAGAGGCTTTGATCATCAAATTATTATTATAATTTTTTGTATGGAGCCGAAAACTTATATTAAACAATAACAAGCAATTAATAAATTATTGGAAGATTTACATACATACCACACAATTCTTATGTATTACATTCCTAACACCTATACTTTATATATATATCTGTATATATATATGATATCTTATTTATCTATTAAAAATATATATTTCACTTTTTAAAAGTTAAAATAATAATAATTTTTTTCTGATATGAAAGGTTTGGGTATATAAAAGTAAATAAAAAAAAAATAAAATAAAATTTAGGTATTAGATATGTAAATATATAGAATTTGGGAGGCATGTATTTAAATGTTCTGTAAGAACATTTACATATATACCACGTAATATTTATGTATTTACATATCTAACATCCAAAATGAAATAATTATAATCATAGCATATTGATGTCATGAACATACGTATAAAAAAATAGTGATACTTTAGATGCTAAAAATTTGAGTAAATTGGAGGTAAAAATAAATATTTAAATGTTTGAAATGTAATAACTTAAGAATTGTGTGGTATGCATGTAAATGCCCCAATATTTTATTAGGGTCAATAGTTATACCTCATGTGCTCAAAGTAATGGAAGGGGCCTTTGTCTTTTAGCTTCTTTTTATATATCAGCCAATAAGGATATACGGCCGGCTTCTAGGTGGGCCCGCTGCAGTCTAGCCTTGTCTTTCACTTTGTCATAATATGTTTATATTTTAATTAAATTATTATTATTTTTGTGACGGATAGAATCGATTTATCAGGTCAAATGACATCTTTGAAAGTGAGGATTCTTTGGAAAATCGCATTAACTCTTCTTATTATTATTTTAAGGTATTGGATATTTAAGTATAATTGTGCCGCGTATCCCCTCCTATCGGTTGACATCTACGATATAAAGAAAATCGCATTAACTCTTCTTATTATTATTTTAAGATATTGAATATTTAAGTATAATTGTGCCGCGTATCCCCCCTATCGGTTGACATCTACGATATAAAACTCATCAGGTCAGTGTTTCGAATCCTCTCTGATAAAGTTGGTCTTAAGAAAATGATACTTGAATTGTAAGACATATTAAGAGTGGCTGGAGACTCCTATAATAGCCTCTGACCATTTTTTTTTTAAAAGCATAATACTCAAATTACTCAACTTAAAACTTTCATATTTACATGCATATATGTGTGTAAATATGAAAATCTACGTGTTAGATATATAAATATATTAAATTTGTGAGTTATGTATGTAAATGCCCTAATATTATATTCTTATTGTTGAAATAGAGGATTATTTCACATTAACTTGGAAAAGAAATATTTTAAATCTTAGTTATTGGCATAAACATTAGTCTTTTTCTCTAAGACATAAATTAATGACTTTTTTCAGGATTATTTTTGTAGCATTTTTCATATAATAATAATACCACTCATTCTTTCACAACCGATCAATAGAAACAACCAAGTCAATATCAATCACTCAAATAAAGATAGATTCTGTCATTTAAATCACAATCAGAGGGTAAATTTGGTATTGTATGAAATATACAAGTTGTTGTAGTAATATCTTGTATCATTATGTAGACATGATGTCACATAAATTGTGATTAAATGGTTTTGTCCAATAGTTATTAATTCACTGATGTGGATTAGATTCAGCTAAATCTACACTAGGCTCTCTTAACATGAACCATGAATTATCTAGTAAGATCTTATGTTAATTACTGCATGTTTATCATCACATTGTAATTATTTTGAGTTTAAACAATCATAAAAGGGGCACCATGCCACTTATTTATCATTTAATTATTTTTTATATTTTAATAAAAATATTATTATTCAACATATTTATGTTATTTTTACAATCTTTATAATACCGATATTCCAAATTACTATTAAAAATAATTTATGATCTAAATTAAACAAAATCTTAACCATAAATTTTAGAAATAAAAATCCCCTCCATCAAAAAATAACTTGTTTTTTTTAATTAATTTATTATTATTTATCACATGAAGCTTTCTATCAATATTAATATAGAATTTCCTTCTAGTCCTCTAGATTAGGTTAAACCTCAGTCTTAGAGAACCAAGATTATTTTTCTTGGGAACTTGATTGACTCGTCTTTTTATTCCAATTAATTTCACCATAACTAATAGATTAAACCCACTCTAGAGAATTAAAAATGTTAATGTAAACTATGACTTAATAAATCATTGTTAACCTAAAAAGTTATACAATGTATCTAAATAATCAAAATAACCCTAGTATGTGTAAAGTTCATATGTTAAATAGAATAGAAGGAAATATTAGTCAACCATGAAACCCATAAATTTAAATAAAATTATGTTTTACAAGCTAAATTATGCTTAATTTGGATAACCCTTTTCAAATATGAAATTTGAAGTTCCTAAGTTAAAACTAAATTAAGCTCTAAGTAATAATAATCAATCTTAAAATACATAAGCTTGATTATAACCTATTAAAACCCTATTATGTCTTCAAATTTATAAGCTATGCTAAACATAGTATGAGTACAAATTAGCCTCAAAATCTATAAGTTAGACTAACTCACTCTTATTAAAAATCTAATTACCCACGACGTTCATATGTAAGATTAAACCTAGTATAAAGCATAGACACCATGAAATCCTTATGTTGGTCTATCTCATATCCAAGAAAATCTAATTAGGTCAACCTTAAGAAATATAAATTGAACACATTTTAGTTATCTTTAATTGAACTCATAAATAACACTAAAAGGTCAAAGTTAAGCTAGTCAAATCTATAATTAAATAAATTAAATAAACTCTTAATTATATTGACCACCCTTATCTAAGCTTAATTAGAGGATTGATGGAATCGCATAAACCTTTATAATTATAGGAAGAATCAAAATTCTAAATTAATCACAAATGATTTAGTCAAATTCTTATTGATCAACCTAACCCATTTAGAGATCTATTGAGTCAACTAACCAAACTAAGAAAACCATAATACAAACTTTACTTGAAGGTAACTCAACTTAAAAGGCTAATCACTTTGATCCAACTTAATCGAATCTAAGTTGGCTTAAGGAGGTCTCGCTCAATGACTGTCCCAACTAAAATTTAAACCCACCACCGTACGAAATTTATAGAATCATTTTAACATTTGATTCAATATTTTGTATGATTTTATATGAGGATAAAATTTGATAAGGTCCCCGTTGACTCATTTTGGTTAGATAATTTTCTCATATGTATTTGGACCACCTTCTTTCCATCACCTTGATAAACATTACTATCCTAAAAACCGAAGATTAATATTTTATATGAGGATAAAATTTGATAAGGTCCCCGTTAACTCATTTTGGTTAGATCATTTTCTCATATGTATTTGGACCACCTTCTCTCCATCACCTTGATAAACATTAGTATCCTAAAAACAGAAGATTAATCTCAAAGGGAGCCCCATTATTTTTTATCATATAAAGATATCTTTACACATACAAAACATTGTTAACATATTTACATATAACTAAATTTTAATTTTTACATTTATAACACATAAATCTTCTAAATCACATCATAATTATCATTATTACTAAGTTTTAAAAAGCCAAGTGCACATTTTCTAACCTTCCACACACACAAAACCTTTATTTCAGTCCAAAAACTCGACCCCTCTCGGATGAAGCCAAAAAGATCAACTGCTATGAAGCCAAACCCATGCACGACATAAAATTACAATAGGGAAGAAGGATCAAGCACTTCAAAAAACAAAATTCAATAATGTCAAAATCGCTATATGCTTTCTCTTTGCCTTTTTAAATTCACGTCATGAGCCGCTTTTACAGTTCTTTCCAGGCATTGCTTATGGTGGCTGTTTCGAGGCAATTTTGAGGGGGGTTTTTTTTTTTTGGTTGGCCAGTTTCGCTTATGGTGGCTGTTTCGAGGCAATTTTGAGGGGGTTTTTTTTTTTGGTTGGCCAGTTTCAATTTTTTATGTTCGTCAGCTTATTTATTTTGAGCTCGTCTTCTTGCCTCAAAATTATAAGCAATATTTACGATAGTATCCTCTTATACCCCTCTCTCTCTCTGAAGAATTATTTATTTAAGAAAAATTATGATTATAAATTTAAGATGCTCAAAATGCATAGCAATTTATCTCTCTCTTATCATTCTTACTCAAACCTTTCAAAATATTAAATTTGAGATTGTAATCACACCCAATAAATATAATGTAATTGAGGAGAGAGAGAGAAATAAAGATAAACAATATCACATTTACCGTAAATTTTACATGAGGCAATTATCTTCTGGACATAACCTGATTCTGCAGTATTTTTTTAAAGGTAAACCGGACTGACTACTCACGGAGATCCACCTGACTAAAACGCCGCAGAGGCCTGAGCTCTTATTATAGAAGCAGAGCAGAGGCGAGAGAAGCACATTCACAAAGTTGCATTTTTTTTTAATCCTTCTGTCAGTTAGTTTCTCTTTTTCTTCCCACCGATATTTGATGGGAATCTCTCCCTCCTCCTTCGCCCATTAAAGGTTTGACCTTTACCTCCCCTGTGGTCTCAATCTTCCAACCGCGAAGCTTTTGAACGAGTTTCATATATTGACCTAATCCTAGCTCTCAGATTCTTATTCCCTTTTAGTTTCTGCGAAGAATCTGAATTGAGATCTTTTCAGGCGCGATGACGGCGTTCAAGAGCGGCGATTTCAATCTGAACCGATTTTCCCGAGCGTTTGGGGAATCCGCAATGCGGAGCTTTAAGCAGGCGATTCTGGAGCAGGAACTTACTTTTAAGAATCAGGTTTGATGAGATTCATTCCGATGGGACAAATTGCTGATATACTCTTATTACAGATTATAATGAAAAATTTGGTATATTTTTTCTAATGCTTCAGGTTCGAGAATTGCATCGCCTATATTGGGCACAGAAAGCACTGATGAAAGAGCTTCAGCAGAAGGGAGTTGATGTGCAGGTCGAAAGCGCTTCGTGCAGAAATGAGACTGCTTTGTTCGCAAATCAACAGAGGGATTTCGACCTGAATAATAATAATAATAATAATAATAATAATGATCTTTTCGGGACAGATCTCTCAAAGGCTAATGGGAAATTTGATTTTGAAAAGAGCTTGATTTCCTCAGTTGCCTCTGGCTGCAATGAAATTATTGATTTGGAGGATTCTACGGATTCAGACCGCCACGAGAAGGCAGAGGTAAGGTTGAAAGAGAATAATGTGTGTTCTGTGCCTTCTGTGGTTCATTTTGGGGAGGAACAAGATGGAAAATTGAAAGACCAGATGCCACATGTTGCCTGTGTTGGTAAGTTTGAATCTATTAAAATTTATGAGTCTACAATTATTCATAGGATCAGACTTTACTGCTTGTTTAGAACTTTATTTTCTTCCTTGATTCATTCACAGTAGATACTAGGATCTGATCTTCTATGTGGTAATAGATTCTATTACTTATTAATGAAGTAAAAGAGTTTCTTCTGGGTTTATTTAAATTTTGATCTTTTAATCTTATTGGTTTCTTATGACCTTCGTATTAATCAAGCAGTTATTACCTATTTGTAATTTATCTTCAATGTATTTAATATATATTTCTGGGGCTATTTTGCAGAAACTGTTGAGTCTAGCTTGGATTCAGTATATGATCACTCTAAAATCACACATGAATCTAAAAAACCACTTTTTGACCTTAATATGCCCGCCGGAGTTGCAGAAGTTCATAATAGCTCACAAGATTCAATGCTCGAAGAGAATAATAGAAAGAATTTTAATGATTTTGAGAGCAAAATGGACATCAATGTTTGGTCATCGGTTTATCCTGTAGGAAAATCCACAGATTCTAGTGATAGAGCTCTTAGCATAAATGAAGCTCCCATTTCCTCCATTGAGCTATCTAAACATGATAAAGGTGGAGTTTCCCCATCCGACGAACATAGATTAGTAGCACAAACTTATCAAAATTGGCAGGAATCAAATTTTACATCCACATACAGTATTAAACTTCCACAAGCAGCGAGCAGTGATTCAACAGAGAAGCCAAGCAATCATAAGGAAAGTGAAGAAGATGAAGCTGAACAAAATGCATTCATGAGAACTTCGTCTGTTAGATATGATGCCAATAGCATGAGTGATTGTAGCTCTTACGAAAAAGGCGAGCAAGAAACTGCTGCTCCTTCAATCACTGATGATTCTGTAATCACACTATCACAGATTACAGAAAATGAAAGGTCTTACACTGGTAAGTTCAAGCCTGAAGAACAGGATATGAAGACTACAGCTGCTGCTCAGACGTTAATGGATATATCTTTTGGAGGTTCAGACATCACAACAGAGAAATTTGATATTATTGAAGATGAGAGTGATCAGATTCAGGTTTCATCTGACTCTTTTGAAGCTCTGACAGTGGAATTATCTGAGATCCGGAATGATGAGATAATGGTTGTTATGCCGAGATTAAATGGAAGAGAGGAGGAAGATTTGAGGACCAGGCCAAGAAGGGGGAAGGGGCTTCGAAATTTTCAGAAAGAAATATTGCCAGGGCTTGTGTCTCTATCTAGACATGAAATATGTGAAGATTTGTATAGCATAAACTATGAGTTCAGAAGAAATAGTTTCAGAATCTCAGAGAACATTTTTGTTCCAGTTACAAGTAGAAGATCAAGGCAGTGTTCAGGGCGCCGGTGATGCAGAAACTTTCTATGTTGAATGAGGAATGTAGGTGAAGGACCTTATATGCTGAGAACTTCACGAGGCTGATTCATGATAGGTATGAGATGTTGAAACAGCTGCGTTTTAAAGCCTCCATTAATGCAACATTGCATTCACAGTTTTGCCTGTCACTGGGAGAGAGAGAGAAATCAGAATTATTCGGGAAAAATTACACAGTTTGCAATAGGTTTTTTTTTTTATAATTTTTTTTCTTCAAATGGGCAAGAATGAAAATTTGATGTAGTAGTGGGACGGAATCATTGGATGACATGTTGAATGGATCGTAGCATGAACATTTTAGTGTTTTATGAGGATAATTGTGACTTCTTTATTTTTTTTCCTCTTTCGTGCATATCAAAAATCAGTCCTCAATGGATAAAGTTATTGCTCAACAACCCTATTGGGCTTGAGTTAGCCTAATTATCTAGAAGACGGCTTTCATCAGAGTAACCTATTTGGGTTGAAGTGTTAGAAATTGAAAATTGTGGAAACACCGAGTTGAGAGACTCAGAGCAAAAATATGAATAGAAGCACACCAACAAAGAAATATAGAAAACACACAAAATACCAAGATTTAACATGAAGAAACCTTAGATGGAATAAAATCATGGAGCCACAAGGCACCAAAAATTACATTGAAAAAATGAGAAACAGTAGAAATTACATCACACAAGTCTCTCTACAACCTTGGAACTCACAAACACTCCTTTCTCTCTTTCACACAAGTGTCAGTTTTGTTTGCTTTTATTCCCGCAATGAAAAATAAAGACTTGAACCCCAAACTGCAGAAATTCGGTTACAAGTGCCTAGACGCCACTCCCAAACACCGTGTTTTTGGACGCCTTATTTCAGAAACTGAAAACGAGCCCATAAAGCAATAAAATGTTTGATTCTTTCTTTCCCCCCCCCCCCTCTCTCTCTCTCAAGCTAATATTCTTAGAGTGAAGCTCCCCACCCCACTCCCAAACACCCGACCCCCCAACTCCCTCCCAACCATGCAATTTTTACAAAAAAGGAATAACTAATAATTTTTCAGAATATATTCTCCATCAACAAACAATTACATTAATTGCTTTCAAGAGTTTCAATCAATAGGATGAACCATAGAAGGCCCAACTTGGACAATGCTAAAATTAATAGATCATCGGGGAACATCTATATTACCACTAATATAGTAAGTTATTTACAACTAGGATTTTTTGTGTAATTAAATAATTAAAAATGTAATATTATTATCATTTAGTTTATTATCAACAACCTTTTAATTTAAATTACATTATTATCAAATCCTGATTGTGGCCGGATTAGCTTGACTGTCAAGAATGTGCGCCTAATATGAGACAGATTTTATCATTTTAATGCTTAATTTAATTTTAATTTGACACATAAGTATTTATATAACTATACCATTTCTACAAGAATTAGCATAGATACACACATTTCTCATTACAAAAACTATTATTTTAACAAAATTTAGTTTTCTCGGGTGTTGAAAGGAAATTAAAATAAATTAATTGGACCAATTATTATATAAACTGAAGATTAGTAACTTGTTTAGTGAATTATTAGCATTGACCGGGTAATTATATGTTAGTTTTAACATTTCACTTAAGAACCACCGTCGCCTTAAAATCTAAAATTTTCTTGGAGCATTTACATACATACCATCCAATTCTTATGTATTTAAATATCTACCACAAAAAATTTACTTTTTACATTTATACCATCCATACTTTTCATACCACATAAAAAATTCCCTATTTTAACTTTTAATCAGTGAATCCACTTTTTCATGCTATGGCAAGGTGGCATATATGTAAAATTGAATTTTAGGCATTACATAGGTAAATACATAGGAATTAAGTGATATATATGTAAATCTTCTAATGTTCTCGAGTAACAGGAAAGAATATTTAATTTAAACTATTAAGCAAATTAAAAAATAAAATGACATGTTTAGTATACGTTAACAGAGCATCATAAGACTACACCGCACTTAAATGTCGAATTTAAACAAAAGAGATAACGAAATACGTTACATCGTTGAACATTTATATAATAAATGTTTAATAAAGAATAATAACGATGCGCAATTTTTGGATAATTAAATACATGTATAAGTTACAAGAATAATTAAAATAAGCAAAATGACCGTGGTTGGTGTTTAAGAGAGCATCATAAAGCTGAACCACTCTAAAATGTTCAATTTAAGCAAACAGAAATTATTAATATAAAATAATAGTTTATATGAAATTAAAAATTTACATGATTAAGCACAAATCTTAATGCATTTTAAATGAGATAACTTCTAGGCAAATTTATAGTTGATGCGTGCTAAAGAATTCGCGGCGGTAGAGTAATGAATTATCATTTTAGTATTGCACGAGAATTCAAGAATTCAAGACACACAAATAAAAGAAGAGACGTAAGCAGAATGAGACACCTCGACTTTTTAGGTGGAAAATTCTTGAAGGGGGAAGAACTATGGGGTCTAACCTAGTTGAAATAATCCACTATAAATATAATGAGAAAACAAGTTCATATTTTCTTAAATTAGGGAAGATCAAATTACAAATTTGTGTAACTATAATCATACAATATTTCTTGGTGACAACAGATTGCAATTATCATTGTTGATTGTTGTGGAGGTTGTAGTCCGTCGTGAGCGTTGTTGATGGTTGCTCCAGAAGCTTTGATTGACTAGAAAACAGTAGTAAGCAGTTGCGAGAAATGTGGACCACATAGGTCGTAGTGGCGAGTATGAATGACGTCCGTATGCCGCGAGAGTCGGAGTCAGGAGCTGCATGAGCTGATGACCACTTAGGTCATTGGGGCAAGTATGAATGACGACCGTAGGCTGCGGAGACCGGAATCGGGAGCAGCACAAGCTGTGAACCACGTAGGCGGTATACGCCATTATGAATGACGTCTGTAGGCTGCGAAAGCCTGAGTAGGAAGCTGCACGAACTGTGGACCACGTAGGCCATTGGGGCGAGTATGAATGATGTCCGTAGGCCACGGGGGCGAACGTTGGGAGCTGCACAAGCTGTGAACCACGTAGGTCGTAGATGTGAGTATGAATGACGTCCGTAGGTCGCGGGGGCCAGAGTCATGAGCTGCATAAGCTGATGACCACGTATGTTGTTGTTGGCACATGAACCGTAGCGGTGAACTCTTGTCCCACAGATAAAAAAGAATTACTAGATTTTTTAAATAATAACATTGATCGGTGTCTGACTGGTGGTGGTCGACGACGGTCGGCGGTGGTCGATGGTGGTCGGCGGTGGTTGACGGTGATCGATGTCGGTCAACGGTGATGCTGAGCTCCAGCTCCTTCTCAAGGTCTCAGGCTCTCTCTCTAAGCTTCAGTTCCTCCCTCATGAGAGGGGTATGTGTCGATTTATAGTGTTATGGATGTCATTAATGCATGAATATGAATCATTTTGATCGGATGATCTGAAGAGCTTCCCTTGATCATATGACGTTTAGTGGACATTTGAGTGCTTTAACGATGTCAGAATTGAGCAATGTTGGGCTCATTGGATTTGTCTTGTCGAGACGCTGGATTCCACTATGAACTTTTTAGATTCGACATCAGTTTGACATTCCAAATGTGTCCAGAAATCTTCCAAGTATAATTTAATGACTTGATCTGGGGTTGATTCGATTCAGATCGGACTAGTTTTATATCATTAGGTCTGTCTCATTGAACCAGTCAGTTTGACTATAATTTTGCTGAAATCAGAGCTCTGAATGACTTTTTATCAAGATTTGAATGTTTTTTACTCAAAATATTCGTGAGAATCGTGTTATGTCTCAAAATTCGTGTCAGATGATGAAAATTTTTCTCAACGTATCAATATTCAAAATGAATATTTCAACAATACAAAACTAACAATGTCAAAATGATTTAATTCAAGGTCAACTGAGCCTAATCAAATACTTAAAATATAATTAATAAGTTTAAACATTAATTGAAATATTAAATGATTTCTGAATTTAACATGCTTATAACGAATAAAGTGGCTTGATGTAAGGAATCTAACAAGTCTACTATTATTTAATTTTCAGTTATTGAGACATTTAAATGCTAAAAGAATGGTCTACATTCAAAATAATCAACACAAAATGTCTGATAAAATGTTTTGAGATTTTAACTAAATTTATCAAAAATATTTATCTCAATAACTATAAATAATTAATCATTCTCCAAATAAGAATAAAGAGAGAACTAAAATTAAATTTGAAAAAATTAAAGAAGTTTAAAGGCAACATTCAACAACAATCATCAACTAACACCCAATATTTTTTATAGTCAAACTAATATTATACAATTATTATTAGCAAACTAACACCTATAAATCTCTATTGCCTCATTAATACTTCCAAGCTATTATTGTTTAATCACTACCAAATAAATGACGTTGTCCGACAACTCTTATTATAACAACATAAAGATAAACAAATTTCATAATTTGTCTTCTTTAGTTGGGCAGCAAAGTACAAGTATACAACCCTACAACTTCAAATTTATAATGGATTATTTTAATTGGATTGAGTCCCATGATTTTTCGCTTTTGGGCTTTAGATGTAAAATTCTTATTATCTCTTCTTGTATTTGTGTATGCTTAGACACTCTTATAAATTACAACTTAACTTTTCTCCTTTGAAAGTTATCTAGCACAACGTACACAAAAATTATGTCCACATGAATCTCGAGATCATCTAATGGTCCAGATTAAAAAAGATATGGCGAGGATCCCTTCGATGAAAAGCTAAATGGTCTCATGAATCTAAACTGGCTAAAAATTACTAGCCGACTCACAGCCAACCGACCGACTAAAAGTCGGTCCGACGATCAAAGGGCCAACCACACCTACAAGAGACAGACATCCACGCCAATAACCGAACAAAAGTCCAACACCCTAACAGTCTTCGATGAAAAGCTAAATGGTCTCATGAATCTAAACAGGCTAAAAATTACTAGCCGACTCACAGCTAACCGACCGACTAAAAGTCGGTCCGACGACCAAAGGGCCAACCACACCTACAAGAGAGACATCCACGCCAATAACCGAACAAAGGTCCAACACCCTAACAATTTGACAAGTATCAACGCAAAGTTCTATCAAGAGCTCCCCCCAGAAATCAACTAAGATTGCCAAAAAACAATAATCAAGTAAGCCAATCGATCGCTCGAAAGCCAACCTGCTATCACACTCAAAAACCTACCGACTTCTGAGAGCGAATGTTGATCGGTGTTTATACGAAAGCCGACCAAAACCAACTAAGTCAGCCGACCCAAGGCCATGCCGAG